TTACCGAAATTAACACGACTACCAAATTTAACACGGCCAAATGAAACCCATCCATGTTAAGTGGAAGCAGTCGTAAAATGGGTATAAAAAGTTTAATCAATTAACACTAGTTTATAGAACTGGTCTGATCAGATGATAGGGGCATGCAGCGCTATCAAACTAAACAGTCTAATAACAATCCGTGAGAGGACATGACAGTGCCACCTAGTGGCCACGATAAACACTGATTTACACTGTCTGGATGACTAACCTTAACAGTAGACAATCTAATAGACAGCATGACATAACACTAGCTCTCGTAAATAAACCCTCCAGTTTTACTCTGCTAAAAAATAGTTCAGATTAATTTGCAAAATGGGGATATCTTTTCCGTGGATTAATAAAGCGGACATTTATGGCTGTCAGCCTGACAATTGTCCAGAGAACCGTTTAAACTCAAACAGGTTGTTCACGATTCAATTTTTCCCAGGATGATCGATACCTAGAGCCATAAAAGAAGAATGTCCGAGAAAGAACATGGTAGACCCCTTCACCTCGCTGTTGTGTTTATTTTTCGCCAGCAGCCATTTCTGATTCATCAGTAGTCGACTCAAAAAAAATCTCATCCTTTTATCTCGGTTCCTTTGCATTTTGGTGCAGGCCTCCGTTATTTATGGGACATTTTGTATCATTTTATGGTCAGTACTGAATGACTTCCCAACCAATTTGCCGGAGCACAGTCACACTCCCCTATTTGCATGGTCAACGGGCCAAATCTCACATCCATTTACATTTAGTTTTTATGTGTTTGCAGTCAGATTGTAAATATAACTGTATGAAAAGTAAAGATTATCTTATAGATGGACAGACCTGGGAATCTAACAGCTCCATCTATAGTGAGTGGTTTGATAGTGGACAGTGTCTGGCAGGAACATTAACCAGTGTCAAGACTCCGTCAGAATCACCAATAACCAGCCACCGACAAAATTAGGACAGAAACGAGGTCCTATACTCATTCTGACCAGTAATTGCCAAACACAGAGGTGAAATGGTTTTACCCTAAAACTAATAATATGACTTGTAAGTAATCCCATTTTATATCCCAATTAGAACAAGAAACAAGGAACACATTAGGTCTGAGTTAGCCTCATACACAAGATCAGTATAATCCTGTACCCCCATCTAACTAGTCTTCCAAACATTATCTAAAGCTTATGGATTTCAGTTTGTATAGGTTTAATGGAATTCTGTTTTTGTACAAAAATTTTATCTTAAGCTTTAAAGAAATTATCAAAGAAATTTATTAATCCTAAAAAACCCAGTGAAGTCATAGTGTTCGTTAACCTCAGGAAAGACATTGCATAAACCAAATCCCAGTCTTCACAGAACTTTTTCTGAGGAATGCTTTAAGCTGATAATGGGCACCAATCCCAATCAAAATTATCTGCGATGTATGCATGGTTTCTGATATTTGCAGTTTATTCTTACAAATTCTCTATTAATTTCAATATCAAAATATATTAAAAAGATCAATCCTACTGCTTTGTATTTAAGTCATTGCAAATTTATCAACTACTTGTTTTCTGTGTGATGTGATTAAAATCCTATTTCAACAAATTTTTAACATCCACGTGACTGAATTCTTCACAAAAACATGGTAATATAAGAGGAGAATAACATAACAACAAAAACCACATTTACAATACAAAAGTAAAAACGCAAATTACCTTATCGAAGGTCAACACCAATCCCCAACCGAATGTTTTGAATGTGAAGCTAACACGTTAGATATTTCAAGGGAATTCGTGTCATCAACAGTGAACAATCATAGATTGCCACCATATTTTCAACTGCGCAGTAACTTGTCACATTTTAAACTGATTCTTTGAAAGTTTCACAACGAATTTTGTTTCTTAATGACATGAATAAGTAACATTTTCTATGTAAATATGATAATAAATTTAAATTTACATTGAATCTATTTTTGTGTTTACATATTTTTAATGATTTAAAAAAAAATTAAAAAAGGGACTATATTTTGTTGCGTAATGTGAAGTTATATTGAGTGAGCAGTGTCCACAAAAAGCCTAGTCTGGTTCCTTGTTTCATATCAGTTCGAAATGTGCCAGTAATTTGAAAATGTAATAAATAGAATATCTAACAGTGTCTTCAGTAACAACAAATATATTTCACTTATGTGTCTAATATTTTTTGTATCTTTCTTGAGTGCACTTAATATTAGACACACTTGTGAAACATATTTATTAGTGAAGACACTATTAAATATCCTCTATGTATAACATTGATCAGAATCAATATCACAATATCCTTTTCATTTATCAACTGAGCAATAAAATCTTATCAAAATTTGGCTACAACATCCAAGACTTTATAATCATGTAACAAACTTTTGTCAGGGGCAATATATTTTCAGTTCATGGATAACTTAACAGCATTTTACTTGATTTTACTGTCCTCTTAAACATAAACTAACACAAATATCAACATATACTGTTTAGGGGACTGACTGTTGTCTTTTGAAGCACAGAAAAGAAAGGAAAATACATAAAAGCCATAGAAAGATCGGGAGACAAGGAAGAGATGAAATTTTAAAAATTGAAGGAATAAAGACAGTTTTTATAATCCCCTAAAGTATTCAGTTAAAGTTTCTGTACCTATTTTTGAAAGTTTAAGTCATAATATCAAGGACACAGACATTAAAACAAGGACAAGATAATAAACCAAGGTCAAGGTTACACAATAACACAATGAAAAATACCATCCCATATGACCCATAAAAGTAGACTTTCTATCATTGTTTACTGGGGAATGAATGACATTAACATATAATCACGTTTTATTAGCAGTCCTACAGGTCACATGTATTTAATTAACTAACGCTAATTTACAATAATAAACTTCCACACTGATATTTCCATTTAAGATCTGCTAATAAAGTCAGACAAGTGGTACAACAGAAGTCACAAACCTAGTTATAGAATTCAAATGTAATTAATCTTATTACAGAAAATTTAGTTTAAAAAACACTATTTATGTACTGCCATCTATGAGGGTTGGTGAACTTCAGTATGAAACAGTATCCGTCAATTCCCATATCAAATTTTCTCTCCAACCTAAGGATAAGAAAGGGGATTTCATATAAATCTCTTAACATCAAAAGTAGATTTTGGCAGAATGTTTGTAAACCATGGGAGGTTTTGGCAACACAAGCATACATCATATAAGATCTAAGATTGCATCCAAAAATATGTGGTAAACTAAATCATGTTGAGAGCAGTTATCAAGATGGTGATAGATGTCTTAGGGTTTGATATATGTTTTGACCTTGTCATTGAAACCTCTGGGAATTGTCTTAAGGATGTATGTGACATTCATTTCCTTTACCGAAGAAGAGTTCCATAGAAACCTGTAGAATGTGTAACTAATTAATTGTAATTTGCCATCTGCTAATTAATTAAGGAAACAGCTGAATGTCACACAAGGGCTAGGCGGTTTTAAGCCTGCTCAGCTTGAAAGTAAAAAATATCTGTTGGGATTAAATACAATCATTTAAGGGAGAGAAGATACTTCACATTTTCAATTTTTCAGAAAAAAAAATCAATATAATTCTGAAAAATTCAATTTTGAAAATTGTTTAAGTGATCACTGGTATCAGGAAGATGGATGTTTAACTGCTTTATATGCTGGATAATTGTAGAATATCTATTTATAGATCGGGTTTATGAGAAAGATGGTTTAAAGGAAAATGATTATTACACAAATCACAGGTATATAAGGGTATTTGTAGACGGTTTATAATGTACTGATTACACAGTATTTATTTCATTATTTCCTTTCGCAAAATTTTGCTTGGCCTGTAGTATCTATTTTATATGTATATATTATATATAATTTAAATAAGAGAAACACTTTGCGTATCGTACATATAAATATAAAATCAAAATATCAACATAGCAACTGAAATTCCAAATCACAATCACCAACATTTTCAAGCCTTGCGGCCATCTTCAGGTGATTGCAATAACGCCACAGGTATTGCTTGGATGCAATTGCCTGCAGATGACCACAAGGTATGAAAGCATTAGTGATTGTGGTTTGGAATTTCAGCTGCCAAGTTAACATTTAGTTTTTATAGCTATATATACATTTATAAATATATGTATATATTTATAAGTGAGAACGCTACAAGCTAATGTTTAATTTCCATGGCCTATAGAACAAGCTATAACTATAGACTGTAGCAGCAACCACCCCAGTATGGCCTGTCACACACAAATTGACTGATGTTATAGATCAGGAGGTAGAGGATATAAGGGACTGGCAGGGGGTAGTATTAGGCCCAGACACTCAAGTGGACCACACTGTTTTATATCAATCTCCTTTCAGTTTACATTTCCACTTTTTTGTCTTCTACTATTGAAGACAAATGTTGGGCGGTTGCCCATGTTAATGTAGACTATATTGCTATTTGTAGAATTAACAATTAAACATTTCCTCAAAGGAATTCGCTCGCCTCCTCCCTTCTCATTATCAAAAATGATTCCATTATGTTGTTCTTAGTTAATAAAATTAATGATGTCACAGCATCTATGAAAATGCTGGCAAACCATAGTTCTTAACAGTTATAAAAGATTTCCAAGACTTTGATTATGATAGAGTTATCATGAATCATGCATTCATTTTCATTCTTGAAATTATTTTTGAGAAAATGAACTTGAATTTCTAGTTAAAACACAATTATAATGACAGTTTCTACCGATTATTATGGAGACAGTGACCTACTTTACATAATTCTAATTCGCCAATGGTTAAAATGACCTATTTTTGATAACTAAGGTGCTATGCTTCTATTTCCACAGAATTAAATGTCACCTGTTTGGTATTACTAAATCACAATGACTCTTTTTTCCATAAAGCAACTAAGACATATCTAACACGTAGATAACAGTTACCTGCTTTATAGGAAGACATTATTACAATAGTAGCAGTGACCCACTTACCAACACACTCAAGGCTATTATGACCTTCATATCCAGGTAGACACTGACAACTGCCTTTGGCATAGAACCATGTCCCGTCACTGCGACACAGGTAGGTAGGGAGCAATTCTTCTGCAGCGTTTGCCACACACACACCTTTCCGCTCCTCCAGAGCCTGCGGACTGTCTCCAGTCGGAGTTTCCATGAAGAATGCAAAATTCAAAGTCACATTTGGACACATGACATAGTAAATTTTGATAGAAATCAGTGTTACACATGCTCCTGTATCCTGGAATGCGAAATAAACACCACCAAGACCACGATTTAGTGGTACTTCCCTGTCCTCTTTATTTATTTTTAAATTAGAGTTGTCATCATATAGATGATCAGCAGCAATCTTGTCTATATTTTGGTATGAGATTTCGTCCCACATTGGCATCATTTCGTTAGCAATATCGGAGTCCGCCTCATAGTAATAAAGGTTGTATGTCTCCTTACACTGCTGAAGGCTGCTAGGGTCATTGTGTTTTACACATCGCCTCATGGAAAATGTCATTTCTATATGTAAGCTGTTGGCATCTCCTCGTGGTATGAAGGGTGTCCTCAGCCAGTTGTCCACCCCCTGACTGCTGACCGAACATGAAGCATACACACGTACAGGGTTGCCATTCTCTGCTGTGTAACTGCCTTCTCTCCACTGAAAATACACACAAACAGCCAAAATTAAAGAAACATTTCATCACATGTAATTAATTTAAAATTACGCTTTTTTAGAACTAGTCACCAAATTCAAACTTGTGAGTGATTTCTTTCACAATTTAATTATCATGAACCTAAAAGTTCTCTAGTCCAAAGCAATTAATAACAAACAAACAGGCGTAAATTCTAACTTCACGCTGTGACAGATATTACCATCAAATTCCATCAACAAAAATGTCTAATCAAAACAATATCTGGAAGTTTGCTAGAGAGGTGATTTCACAGGCTTTAAGTAACACTATAGATATACATGAACGTGATTCAGAAGGTCGAGTGAGGACCTTGACCTTAAGTTAGATTGTCTACATCACTCTGATATGAACACTCTCCTGATTTCGAAACAAGTCCCTTTAGACAGTCTGTATCATTAGTTTGTGAAACATTCCTTTAAAACATTAGTAAATAATCACAAACTTCTATTTGTGTGGCTCTGTAATACCACTGCAGGATGGAGTCTACACATGAAGCTAACTTGGTCAGTCTACTGTCTGCTGCACATATCCTGCTGTTACCATATAATTAACTGGTGAAAGTTTCAATTTTTTTTTTACTGGACATCACTGAAGTAAATAATCTGAAAGTATGGTAAATTAACTACAACTAAGCCTGTTAGACTAATAGCTTATGTACAAAAATAAACATACTGAGTGAGAAACAAGGCTTAGTACAGAAAGCAATCTACCGACCGTAAAAGTTAACTTCTGATCCAAAAACAAAGAATCATAGGATAAATCTGTTTTCAGACATTCTAGTACCCACTGAAATTCTGTAATTGTATAAATTTTAGCTGTAATCTTATTTTAGCATTATTCATGCTTAAAATTCACACTAAAATATTAGTGTGCTACTTGTTGCTCCTCCATATATTATTTACATATAAAAATGATTCATAATATGTGATTTGTCACGTTAATTTTCCGAAAAGTCGAGACTTGATAAAATTTGATTCTGATACAATAACTACCTTAACACTCCTTTATACCTTAATTCAATTGTAGGTGATTCAGTAGATTATGAGAGGACTATAAGGAAACGCTGACAATCTCAATAACAGTTTGTACCAGCAGTTTGTCCGGGTTTTTGTATTCCTGCAGGACTAATTATCAGTAATCTGGTCAGATTACAAGGATCAGGGAGAGTCTTCCAGTCTGTGTGATGTAACTTATATCATCATTAGATGTACAGTAGCTAATTCTTTATATTAGAGATGTTGGTACTTTTTATGTAATTAAGTTCAATATTCTTGATAAGCTGTGGGTTCAGTTTTCATATAGTGAAGTACATCTTTTCTGAGATATTGGTAGCTTTAATAGCAACAAGATCGTAATTAGTTTGAAATGACAATAAAATGTCACTTTGATTAGTAGTCTAACTTGAACTAGATCTAATAACCTCAATAACAATCCTATTCCACATTTTACACCATATCCAATAAATAAAAAAGATTCTGTCTTAAACCTGACGCAACAGTAGACAGACATTTATCCCTGAAATGGTCTCTAAGAGAATATGGATTCAACGATATATCACAGATGGACAATCCACGTCCAATAATTCCCAAATCAACAGATAATACCAACCCTTCCCTTAAGACAAAAGAAAATTAGACAACTTTTCCAGATGATCGCAACACAACAGTAAGAGCTTTTATTCAATTTGCAGATAATTCTGAAACAGGAGACAATGAAAATGGCTGTGGACATATTCATTAATTGTATATCCTGTTGGCATAGATATCTGTCTTCCATCTAATGTCCCTCAGCCAGTGGGAAGCTGGTCGAAATGTCTTCTCGACCAGGGGTAACATGGTCGAAATGTCTTCTCGACCAGTGGTAACATGGTCAAAATGTCTTCTCGACCAGTGGTAAGGTAGTTGAAATGTCTTCTCAACCAGTGGTAACATGGTCGAAATGTCTTCTTGACCAGTGTTAATGTGGTCAAAATGTCTTCTCGACCAGTGGTAACATGGTCGAAATGTCTTCTCGACCAGTGGTATCATGGTCGAAATGTCTTCTCGACCAGTGGTATCATAGTCAAAATGTCTTCTCCACCAATGGACAAATGAAACTTAGCAAAAGATTACCAAAAGTATCAACAAAAATACCCCCCCCCCCCCCCCCCCCCCACCTCTGATAATACTAATACTGACCCCATAACAACAGAACATGTCTCTGTGAGTACAGAGCACGAGTTGTCTTATACTTAAGTAAACAATTGTATAGTGTTTAACAGTGTGTGTCAACACGAGATTCACAACAAACTTTAATCATTATTGATATATACTTGACACTGCTCCTCACCATCCTTTGATGTTTTCCAACTCATACATCAGCTGTGACAATTTATACCTCATCTGGTTCAATCTGCAGTAAACTGATTATCAATAAAGAAATGCCATCTCTGCCAAACAATCCATGCTTGGGGTTTTTATGTGTCTGAATGCTTTTTTTGTCAATTCTGAGCTATTTTTATCATAATGAAAATCTATTTGAAATATAATTTTCTGATAAAATCCATGCCTTAAGATCATGTCCCCCAATGTCGTTAGTAACCAAAGCTTAGCTTGTATGGATATGGCAGTAACGATGTCAGACTAACGACGTCAGATCCAATTCTTGTTGTATATATTCCAAAGATTGTGGGTAAGAATCTCAAACAAAACAAGGGTCAAAATCTTGTCATCATATACATTCAAGCAGGCTGAACACTGAAAATTGAAATACTTCTCTTCTTTTCATGTATTTAAAGTCATAAAAAAAATTTTAAAGTTCAATTTTGGGAAATAAACTGTCAAACTACATAATGATGTATCGTGTTGTTAACTTTCTTTCTTCGTACAAATGGAAGGTTTTCTGTGGAAAAAACCTTTTTCTTACTTTTATTATTATTTCTAAATTCAAGGAATGAAAAAACAAAATTGGATCTGTACCCAACACGCAGATAACTATCAATGTAATGTAAATTTTGAATAAAATCTAACCTACTTTAAAATCATGACTTTTCGCGAGTTTATTTTTGTTGGTTCGCTAGACCTAATGCACAAATTGTTAAATTAATATGAAATTCTTATTTTCTTACCATTTGAGGATTTCAGGAGTACTTTTTATCCACGAAATCATATTTCAACAAAAAAATATATTATTATGGAAAACCATGAAATTTTTGTCCAACAAAAATACATGATTTTACAGTAACGGAAAAAAACTAATAAATTAATAATAAACACTCTCAGATGAATATTTTCACTTGCCTACAGTCTTATCACTTTATCAAAAGTTAAATTGGATTTTCCTCGATTCGCGGTATGATGACCTGGCAACAGGAACGAATAAAATCCTAAATGACTCTGTTGGTCTGAAGGTCACTTAATCACACATGATGCATGCATGTACATTTCATGTGTAGCGGAGTTAACACTCGTAATCGGAGAGATCAGATCGTAAATTTTACCCAGGTGCATCTGAGTTTGACACAAATCAATACCATATATGCAACATGCCTCATTCTGATAACATTGAATTCACACCTCCAAGGAAACGCAGGCCGTTTTCCTAACATATTGCTCCTGGTCCGAGATGAGATTGGATTGTAGGCTGTTTTATACTTTTAGGGCTGTAGAATGATTGGTATGATTGGACTTGCCTGTATACCACAGACGTATGTACGGTACTCTCACACAGCAACAATATTTCTCAACCATTTCCTTGATGTCCAATTCATCAACACAAACAAACATTTTCTTGATGTCCATTTCATTAAAAAAAAAACATGTTTTTTATTGTATGTTTAGACAAGGACAAATTTTACATTGTCAAGATATTGTTAAAATATGAATTTTAGAGTTTTGATGTATATATCAAATTAAGACAAATAAATTCCTCTCAGTATACTTAACTACCTTACATAATTAGATTAAAGGTTTGATTGAAAAAAATGTGATGTATTTTAACATAAACTGATTGAGGAAAAAATTTAACTTTTTCTAATTTTCATTTAATTGTATTTTTACTTTATTGTTATGTAAACACTTTCAACATTTTCTCTAAAATGAAATCACTAATAGATCAACATATTAACAAATGACGTTCTGTTAAGGAATGGCATTGTCACCATTTCCTCTGAGATTGTCCAAATTGGACTTTCATTGATCCATTTAGCAAGGTCCATGTGAGGTTGAAAGGTTGCATCAACAGTGGATAAGTTCCTGATAGATATCACAAAGAAAACAATAGCAACACATCCCATGGAGAGCCCCTTGGTCCTACACGACACAATTAGCCTTGTGTACCGGCTAATCAGAAGCGTAAGTGTTGGATAGATTGTGCCTGGTTTTTCCCATACGGAGACATCTCATTGGGTTAAGTTAAGGTTAACACCGCACAGTCACATGCGATGAAATGAGCCAGGCATATTTCCTCCTGATGACAAGATTCATGGTGAATACATGGATGGCATCTTTGCATTGAAATTGCATCTTGGCTACCAATTTGCCTGTTGTCAGCTCATTTTATCTGAATCCGCCCCATAACACCCATCTTCCATTCTAATGAGGTTATCTCCCTTTGTTTTCTGCGGTAATGATCACTTCTATTCTTAATGTAGTTACCTCCTCCTGTTTTCTGAGGGATGACTTTGATTTGAAAAATCCCCTTCGTGGCCTTCATCATCAACCTTGTTGTCTCTCTATCATCTTCCTTATCTCTATTAAAACCACTTTTCATTGTTTTTATCATATCTCTATAACCTTCATCTTCATCATACCTCTATTACCTTCATCTTCATCATACCTCTTTTACCTTCATCTTCATCATACCTCTATTAATTTCACAATTCATTTCTTGCCAGTAATTTTCTCATATTCTATTGAAGCTTTTTTTTTTTGAAAAGTGCTAAATGTAAAAAGTGTATTATATTTTTTCAACAGATTTTCTATTCCAA